TGCTCATTTATCTATTTATTTATTTATTTATTTGTATCGATAGTTAGGACTAGGACAGCCATATCCAAATTACCTTTGGCCCATTTCTGATCAAAGCTTCAGTCATCACAGTGGTCAACACAACAGATACTAATGTATTATGCAATAGCTCCCGAATAGTGAAAAGTATCAATAAAAAAGATAGCAGTCATGGTATGTGTTTATTATGTCTTTTTAAAAATACATTCTTGCTGTCAGCAGCATATTTCAGACTAATCAGACCAAGGCAATGTGAATATCAATGCTAAATGTTTTTTTATTTATTTCCATGTTTATATAGAGTTTTGGCCACCCTACACATGTTGGCCATCTTTGCCCTTTGCCCAGATTTTGTTTCGTAATACAGCAAATATTTTTCAATAGTTTAGGTCTGGACTGCAGGCAGACTATTTTAACACTCTCTGGCTTTTGAAGTGTGCACTGATAAAAAGCCGGTGGTCTCCCTTCCCTTTAGTTCTGGGAATAAATCATCCATTCTTTCACAAAGTGTTCGAAATTTTAATTCATCACACCACAGGACAGTTTTTCTTCACAACACAATTCATCCTAAATGAACTGAGGCCCAGAAAGGCATCCATCAAGTGATTTTCTTTATGCAGTCTTTGGTTCTTAAAGCAGCGCCATCTTAAGAGGATCAAATCATGGCTTGGCCTCCTCAGTACTGGTTTTATCACAGATCTTTCTTTTATTTTTTCAGTTCTTTCAATGTCTTCATGGAGCATCATTTTAAATGCAGGCTAAATCAAGTTTTCTCTTTTCATCTACTGTATATTGACACTGTTAGCTTTTCAGAAATATTGCTGTATCTTCATTCATAATGTTAAAAATAGGAAATGAAAATGTTCCAATATACTTCTAATTGTACTCCCTAAATGTACTGGTTTGTTCATTGGCATTCTCATTTGGTGTTTTTTAAAATGGTATCAGACGGCTTAGCATTCTAACAGAACCTTATAAATAAAGAAAACCCTTACGTATGAACAGTTATAATAAATTAGTAAATCAATTGAATTACTTTATTAATCCCTTACAATGAAATCCAACATTTCAGCTCAACCCGTGTTCGGGAAGACTGTGGGGCAGCCCATCTGGAGTCACATATTTTCTATTAGTTCCCGTATTTAATATTACTGTAAAGTATTTACATTATCATCACTTCAAACACCAATTTGAACGCTATGAATTATTTTAAATGTTTTTGACCATGAAGATGCGTTGTGCATGGAAAAACTGGCTGCAGTTGGAGACAGAGGTTGTGTACATTTCAGCCCACAAAGCAACAACACCATAAACATCCTGGCATCTGGCTCATGTTCACATCGCAAGCTCTGCTCATATTCAATTACCAAGTCAACATTCTCTGAGTAGCAGTGAAGAGCTCTTGATGGAGTGCTATGTACATAGACCTGATTAAGGATTACGCATAAATGTGTTGAACACCACAAGACCATTGAGAAATACTTAAGCAACATAAATTAAAACCACAACAGCCCTCATGCTTTGAAGCTCTGCTGGTCATTAAAGGAGAGACAGAAAGAAAAGATCAGCATTGTACATATTACAGCATGGGGATTGGAGCAATAGTGGAATATACATATCTATCTATGTGGTTGTTTGCAAACATCCACATTTATGTGATGATTCCAAAGTTATGTACCAACTTTATATGTTCATTTTCTCTAAATCCCTGGTTCACTGGGGTAATTAGCTCAACCACAGCATACACACTACAACCATAAATCTGCCATAACTTCAGACAAGACTCATAATGAGATTTATCCAGTAAAGAAAAAGCTGTGCACATGTCACCTCAATAATCCTAATAACTTTACAAGTTGCAGTAACAGCAAATCACAATATTTATCAATTCTTTGAATATGTTAAATCAACTCTATACTTTTGGCTTGGATGTGATTTATTAAAACATCCATTTAAGCCATGTTTCAGACATTAATATTCTCATTCAAAGCTTCCTGCCAAAACAGATTTTTTCTTTATCCTTTTCACTGTAATCAAATTTGTGACTGCTCAGGTTTGGAGATTGAATAGAATGGCAGATTCAGTTTGATAAATTCACATTGGATTTTTTTAAAGGAAAATATTAGATAAACTAAACTAAATAAATATTAGTACATCTAATTCAATTTAACCATAATTAATTGTATTTCGTTTGGTTACAGCTGGGCTGTTACTTTAAAATGTTCTGAGATCACTTTAATAAAAAAGTAATCTCAGTCCTCCTTCCTGACATTAAAGAATTTGGGTGGTGCATGACTGTTAAAAGACTGAAAGCTGAAGTGTGATAACATTTCTTCATTCGCTTATTAATTTAAGTTGATCAATTGAATAAATAATGTTTTTCTTTCGACAGAAGGATTTTTATTGTAGCGCCCCTCTCTCTCTGAGAGAGGCATGATAACACCTAACTAGACTTGTGGTTTGGAGCAGCAGCACAAATACACGTCGGCTGCAAATAATGAGGACTGTATGTCTGATAGGGCACTTGTACGAGAGCTAACACTGTGCAGCTCGTGACAGATTAAATCGGCAATGATATTAACATGCAAATGGAAAAAGGGAGATAGTATTTCCCTTGGATTAACTGTCACTCTTCGGGGCCAACATATAAATGCTTCTGAATGGATCTTATCACGGTTGTAGAAAACACTGCAGCTGAGGGGCACCCTGAGGAAGACAGACATTGTGCTGTTCATGACAAGTATCCAGGTACCAGCAGCACAGGTATTCAGAAAACTCTGTCAGTGTGGTTTAATGACTGAGTCGTTTGGCCGCGTCTGAGCTGTTGGCCACAACTACATTACAGCTTTGTGGAAATTTGTCACTGGAGCTGTTTCACACAGTAGGACTGCATTGCTGATGTGGGTTAGAGGCCTGAAAGAAAAGGCATGTTCCAAACCCTAAAATATCCCCTGTTTAATGAAACAGCGGCAGACTGAAAATAAAGACTAATATGTCCCTTTTTGGTGTGGCAGCTTACAGAATCACCCTGTCACTTTATATATGAGATGAGCTCCTTGCATGCTTCTCGTCACTTCTCGGCTGTTAAGGTTCTTGATGTTGGCTCGCAGGATGTTTGCGGTAGCGCTGCAAGTCTGTGTCGCGACCCCGGAGTCTGCGAGCTGCAGCTGTGCTCTGACACGCAGAGCTCAGCGGTGACATACTTTAGTTCATCATGGAGGTGTAACTCGGATAGCTTCCCATAAGTGATGCCGAGCCATCGTTCTTTGGGGGTGCTTTTGTTCTTTTCCCCTCTTTTTTTGAAATAGCTCCGTCGTTTGGATTTTGGAGACATTTTAAAATTGAGTAATTGAAAACACTTGTCTGTGTGAACGGATGTGGGCACCCCTCCAAAATGTATTCCTGAGATGCCTGGGCTGCAGTCAGATCCAGATGGTTCTGAACTGAAACCAGATGGCTGGGTGCAGGAAGCATGGCCTAGGTACTACTGCATGCTGCACGTGGACAGGATCCTTTCAAGGAACAGACACTGTGGTTTTGCTCCGTCCTTCAGCATGGGCTTTTGAGCGTTTGTCAGTGTCAATGAGTATGTTTGAGCCCAAATATTCAAATATAAAAACAAATAACAACAAGTATTTCAAGTGTCTGAGAGGAATAGCTTTATTTCATTCAAAGATCGAAATACACACACACTCATTACAATTTATTTATTGCAAAAGGGACACTTGCATCAATCAATTTGTCCCCATTGCTGAGCACAGTCCATGTAAAACCTACATGACACTTTGTTCATGCTAACGCGCAGTCACACACTTTACAGCTCACAATGTGCTATCTGTGCCTATTTGTGCATTAATGCCATAAAGTCTGTTCGATGTTTCCCTGCAGGTGTTTTTGCTGTCTGTTTTGTTGTCCGCCAGTTTTGTCTCTCTACAGGTACTCATGAAGGTCCCCTTCAGCTTTCCTCATGGATGCTTCAGGAGCAGTTTTATAGCAGCTGGTTGTCGGATTCGGTTATGTTGTTTCTTTTATATGCTCCCCCCTCATTTTGGACCCCCCAACACCGCACCAACAGTGACTGCTGTCAGAAACAGTTTCTGAAAGCACATGCTTGCTTGAAGACATAAATCATTTGCATTTCCTGATTCAGATCAAAATGCAAATCACACATTATCTCCATCATCCATTTAGCCTCTTGTAACTCATTAATGTATGCAAGTAATAACAGAAAGGTTGTGCAATAGAGGAGAAAAAAACATCAAACCACGCAGCCACCCAAACACTTTCCCTGTAATGCCTCCACAAAAATACCTCTCACGCTGAATCCGCAGCCAGAAACAAATAAAATTTAGGGTCAGAAACTTTTTCACTCGTTTCTGATCCACAACCCAGGCAGTCTTCAGGTGGCCCTACCATTTCACACTAATGCAACACTTTCATGACATTTGTAAGGCCTCATGTGCCAAGCCAGGGAGCAGGAACATTAAACATGTTGCTGCAGCAAAGACAAACCTAAAATGGATTACTAATTAAAGGTGAAGTCTGTAAAAGTTCATTGCAAATGCCTATGAAATACTAGCACAGTTCGCACAAGGAGAGAGCGCTTAATTCCAACAAAAACGAAGGTTAAAATGAGCACATTTATGGGTGGCATTCATATCATCAGTATTTTCACACTGAACAAGGCAGCTTTCATCAGATGAACATGAACTGAACGCATCTTTTTCTGATGGCTTTGAACATGTCATGATCAGTCATGACAACAGGTACACTGTGAATGCATGGATTGGTGGATTTCTCCACCAGAATAAGCATAACAACCATGAATACTGAAAATGTATATGGACATCAGAGACCCGCAACAGAAGTATGCAGAAGAAAGTGATAAAACTGGAGAACCTCAATGAAAAAAACAAGGTTCTGGGTTCTAACAAGAAAGCTTTAAAGGAGGGAATGGGCCCGGAGGCAAGATCCGAAGGACGTAACTGAAGACTTTTCACTGGTGAGAGTCTGCCAGAACACCGGTAATGGGAACTGTTGTCCTGGGAAAAAAAAAACTTTAGCATTCACTGACTCTGACCTCTGATGGCATTCTTTTTGCTGTTGCAGCTTATTTTAAAGGGGCATTTTATCCTTAGGGCTTCATTGGTTGGCAAAAAACTAAATGTACAAAGTCAAATACAGTGCTTACAAACTGCCACTCGCCTATGTGGCATCTAGATTTATACACAACACCATTTCAGTCACAAATAACTTTTTAAGAAAGATATTTCACCAAATGGATCCTGTAACTATTGTTTTATATGTATTAAACATCTAAACATTCTTTTCAAAAGGATTTTACTTACTATTCATTTTCAAATGATGCAAAATTCCACCAGAGATTAAAGATGATAAAGAAGATCAGGACTGAAAAGTAATGGTGGCAAACAGTACAAGTTATATCAGCTGGAGACACAATAATAATGATAATATATAGCCAATACCTATTCAGTTTAGACAACTAACTAGTTGTGTTGTGCATTTTTTAATAAAAGTAAGAGCTATAAGTTCTTCTTTTCTTCTTTGCGATCTGACAACCACTGACTTGTTCTGTGATACTTCAGATGAATAGATGTTTGTATGTAACCTCTGAACGCCACGCCCTACTATTGATGGATTGGATGTGTTTAGCTGGAAACCATGCTGGACCAAAGATTTCATTCCTGATGTAATCTTGAAACCTAGAGTACACCAAATGATATCGAGTATTTAATTCAGTTTAAATCTGATATTGGGAGGTGGTGCCTTTTTGAGAGGAGTGGTCCAACAATCAATAAAAAGTAAAAACAATCTGGTATCAGACAGGCATTTTGCTTCCAACCATAACAACTCTGTAGTTCAGCACATGTAACTTGCTGGCTGTTTGCCAGACTATTCTCAGCAATTGGATTTGAAGGCTTAAAGATAAATCAAACTGTTTTAATCCTGGAGTTTACATTTTCAGTTTGAAGAGCAATTCTACATATATAATATGTGCCATATGATCATTACAGTTTATGTCTCTGGATTTTGTCAGTCCTCATTATATTTCCTGAGAAACAGCTTTCATGTTTTGGGATGGTTATTTCATGCTGCTTACATTGAAGCATGTTTTCATTCCAGCCTGCAGATGTAAAGCCCTGTTGCTGGTACTGGTTGCACATTCAGGAATGCAGATCCTCTGAGTTTATGCATTACGTACGAGTCATGCATACATCTGTCTGTCGGAAAAAAGCCCTGCTGTCAGACAGGTCTGAGGAAACGTGAAGTTGTCACTCTTAATAAAACAAAATGGACCATTGCCCCTTCAGTTTTGGTGAGATGACTATATTTATGTTGGTCAAAGTCACACTTCCTCAGTGAACAGCAAATTCCAGTTTCCTACAACAAAATTTAAAACTATCGAAGAGACTTATAGGTGGGTTTATCCTGAGCTAAGTCTCACAACATTTGTCTATAGCTGTAGTTTTAACAACACTGGATGGGATCATTTAACAAGTAGACTTGGTTTTAAAAGGTTTCTTTAGATTTTTCTGTTGCACATATACTTTCTCGGCATCATATGAACTTGGCAGATGATGACTCACTCCTTGGGATTTCAACTCTTTGTTATCATTTGGCATCTCATTTGACAACCAATAGCACCACTCAGCGCTGCTGCTAATGGATAGGTCCATAGTGCGTCTGTCAATACTTTTCAGAGCCTCTGCCATGAAAAAAAAAGTCCCCCCAAAAAATTCCCCAATAATTAGGCTCTATTCTCATGTGAACACCACAAGCATCTGCTTCTGTATAGAAAAACACTTTATCTCCCTGACCAAACTTCACACATTAAAACAAACACATTTCAAAATGAAGGCACAACCACATTGTCACAGATTGATTCTCCTTCTGTTATTCTAATCGTCCTGGATGTCCTTTCAAATTCTCTCATATCTCAACATTCCTACGTTTTCCGTCCATTCCCACAGTACACTGGAGACACCAGGGTATTTTCATGGAGTTGTTCCACAGTTATTATTCAAATAAGCAGCACAATTTGACAAAAGTCCCTCTTGTGGACAAGAGTCGACTAGCACTATCCTTCATCTGATATCGTCAAGGTCTTTTCTTAAACACATTTAATGATTTATTTCTTACTTTCAGTTAAGCAGTTAGAAATATTTGCAATGAGAATTTGATGTCTAGTATCAAAAATCTCCCTCACAATTAGCAATCTGGTAATCTTATGATTATACAGGAAGTAGTTGATGTTAAGCAAATAGCATTAAGCTTTGGGCTAAATTCAATTCAGATGCAAAGTGACCTCCAAATAGGAAATAGGTTCATGCACTACGATGGAAATTAATGCAAAACTCTCACGTTGCAGCCCAGTGTTTTACTGTATGTTTTCCCCCTGTGACAGATTTGCCCTTTCAGTGAACTCTGCCCTGCATCTACAGTACCGTGCCATTGTTTTCTGTCATAACTCTGGAAACAAGGTGAAACACCCTTCTCCTACCTGACAAAGGAATTCATTATCCTTCTCCTCAGAGGACACAGAAGTGGTCTTCTCAAATGTGTTTGTGGTATGGACATGCTCCAAGAAGGAAGGGAGTACAGTGATGTGCTAACAAGGACAAGACTGACTTCTAAACTCATGAATAAACTCTCAGTTTACATCCTTACTTTCGGCAGAGACACACCAAACCTTCACCCACTGGAGCGGAGGGGAATATGAGGGGGGGGGTTAATAAATGCAGGAACAGAAACATGTTCATTGAAAGCTCGAATCCAAGCTCAACATCTCAGTCAAGTTTTACACGGTTTGCCCTTCTGTTTATGTGAGTTGTTCTTTTCCATTTTTTTCTGACTCAGAGTGCTGCCATTACCAGTTACCAGGCACTGTAGTCTTTTTTTACATCTAATTTGAAACACGGACATCCTGTCATAGGCTGCTCTTCAACAGAATGTGAAGCTGAAAGTAAAAAATGAGCATGCAACGATATATTTATTTTGGAAATGTGTTCTTTTAAAAAAGGTAAAAACGAGCTGAAATTGTTCAAATAGTGTCATGGTTGAGGATTAACCCTGTATTAATTTAATAAGAGGCATGTGAGACCTTTTTTTCATGAGGCTGTGTTTAAAAAAAAAACAGCTGTTAAAACTAGTCTGTTACAATTAATATGTTGAATGCTACTGATTTTGACACTTGGTAACAGCTCAGTCACCAGACTAAAGAATGCTCATTTTCTTCTCACACAGAGAAGAGTTATTTAGCTGGAATGAGACTCATATCTGGATTCCCCGACAGACATGAAATGCCAGAAGTTTGACATGGCAATGTAAGCACCTGACATCACTCTGGAAGAAAAAATGGGGATTACAATATCATACATGAAGGAAAAATCGATTTTTCTAGTTTCTAGTTTCATTTTTAGCTCTCTGAAGTACAACTAACAGTTCAAGTTATTTAACGAATAACATATGCTGTAATATTTAATACAGTAGAAAGAAGAATATTAGTTTATTTCTGGGCCACACTGGATTATAAACAATAATTGATATATATTACATAGATTATATATACAACACAATAAACATTTACAGAGGCTATCCAGTGCAGTTGCTATGAACATTAAATCCGCATCTAAATATCTCTTTCTCTGATTACCTGAATACTCCGGCTTCCTCTATCTGAAGAGGCACAATGCCTCCACGATAAATGATAGCTAACAATCCCACACATCATTATCTGTATGTTAGCACGTGTAGCTGCAAGTTAGTGGACTGTGTGGAAACATTTAGAGGTTTTACAGAGAACAGCGACCATCCACGCTTTGTATTGATAACCCGTGCAGCTTATCTGAAGCTAAAGCAACAATGATGTCATTATGAAGTATGGTTCAGGAAAAGGTCAGAGTGATAAAGAAAACATATCATTTGAATGCCCTGGGTGATGTTTAAGTCAGGTAAAGTACCCACTACATCTGACCAGTAGCCAACCGGTTTTTAGTCTTCCAACGTGGTCAAGGGCTTTAAATCTGGAGATGAAGGGCTGCACAGCAGGGATTTGGGGTTGAGAGGAATGAATTTTATATCCTTCTTTTAAATATATTTTTTAAACTATCTCTGTAGCTTTATCATTCATCTCATCTGAAAGTGGTTTCCCATTTCCCATAAATGAGTGTTAACAATATTTATATGAGTAACTCTTAGTAACTTGTGTGTGTCAGATTAGCTGAACAATGTGTAATTCTGAACCTTTAATGGTTATATGCATAAAAAAACGTGTTATGTGTATACAATAAAATATACTATGGTTTTTTGAGAAGTACTGTCAAAGCACACAATCTCTTTTGTTTAGCTTGTTTTGACCTAGTCAGTGTTCATATAGTGGTCATAATTAAGCACAGCCAGGTACAACGCAGGTAAAAGGGAAAAAGGAAACACACTTTCAGCATTAGGGCAGATGTCATCCTCATGCCTTTTTTATTTGGATTTTAGGTGAACAGGCCGCTCAGCTGTGGGGTCAACAGCAACATACCAGGACAGCTGTTTACTAAAGCACCTTAGCGTCTTCCAGGTTGGAAACAGGCGGGTTGTTGTTTGGGGTTAGAAAGCAATTGATGTCTGAACTGCATCACTTTTATTTTGGCCGTGGTATTTATGTTGACATATTACAACAAAACCTTGTCAGTTATTCCTCCATTACAACATGACTTGGTTATGGTCATCAATGGTTGTGGTTAGATTTTTTCCCCCCAAAGAAACCATTTCACCATGGACGCCATTTTTAACCTTCACATGCAGTTTCGCTTATGGCCGCTAGAGGTCAGATGTCCCTAGAACGTAATGAGCATACCTGCCTGTATGAGGAAAGGCACCATGGATTCGCAGTTTAGGAAAATAAAGACCATTCGATGTAGACCAGCACCTTTTAACATTGCCTTAACTTTCAAATCATCAACATAAATAAAAATCTTTATAATCACAGTCAGATTCACAGTCAAGCATGGCGACAGTCACAAAACATTTTTCCTCAATAAGGAAATTGTTATTTTTTGTTTCTAATACATCTTTTGCAAATAAAACTTTGACATTCCAGTTTATGTCAGCCCATGTATTAAAATAAATAATATAAGGGCGGACGATATTAGGAGATATAATGATTCAACTGTGAACAGTGGAATTCTATTGGGTGGATGCGGATAGATGCCACATGCAGTTACAGAGATTCGTTTCACAAATATATAAATATAAGGCACAAAAGAGGATAGAAGAGTAAGTCCTGCAAACCACCCGTGTGTGTAGAATCAGTACGGATAGCAAGAGAATAATCAGAACAGGATCAGAATTGTACAATATCTCCCTACATATCAAATAGTGATCTAATATCGAATCTTTTTATTCTACCTCCGATAAAAACTATTTGCTTTAAGACTTGATTATGTTGAGATATCGTGACTTTCAGACAAGAAATTCGGCTTTTGGAGTAGAGGAAACTGTTGAAAGAAAACCTGCACAAGTCAGTACGGATTGATCAAATCCACGCAGAGCTGCTGGGGGGGGGGAGGTGTAATGACAATATCATTTATTAGGGCAAGGGTTATTACACAATCCAATGACTTCAAACCTAGATCTTAGATCACGTGATGTGCTATTTGTCCGTGTTAAATAATATATTCAATTAGTAGTGTAGAGACTCACGGTCTGGAAAAGACGTTCTGATTGGCCCGAGCTGCACTCGTTCTACTCAGCGCTCCCATATAAACCCGTGCAGACTTGACATCGGCGTTATCTGTCATGCAAGTCAAAGGGATAGACAGGAGAAGCTTGTAGAGAAATTACCGGCAGCCTATACTTGTAACATCCCACATTTGTTCAGCAGAAGCTTTTGGAGCGTTATTCTTCTGAATTACACACAGAGCAGGAGGCGTCTCTTTTCTATTTAGTTGTATGATCTCCTGTGCTAAGAGGACGATGCCTTTGAGGACCGGACTTTTTCTCCTGATGGTGCTGAATGCATCTGCATATGAACTGGATCAGAACGAGTCCTATTCGCCCAGGAGAACACGCTTTTCAGCCAATAGCCCTTGTAAGTAGCACGCTGCCTCCATCTGCATGTATTTCAGAGTGCACTGCTTTTTTTTTTTTTTTTATCTTTTTGCACAACATTTCCACAGTGCACAGCCTTACCTTTGATCGCATACTATGTGCATATTTCTTTCCTCCTCTTTTTTTTTTTTTTGGCCTATGCAGCCTTTTTCTGTCGGAACAAGCGCGTTGATTCTCGGAGAAGGCTTCGGGATTAACGCTGTGGTTTTGCCGGTGTCCTGCCGGCAACAGATGAGCACGGAGCACGGTGCTGACACCTGAGAGCGCAGGCTGTGTCATGCTGTTAGTCGTCTCATGGCTTTGGCTGCTGCATAGGTTCCACTTACACAGCCTAGCGGGTGGGACTTTCGGGGCTCTTAGTGCATAAAACATGTTTCCTGTATAGCTTTGAAGTCACAAAGAGAAGTAGCAGGGGCTAAACTGCCTGTCAGCTGGGCTGTGGCTTTAGGATTCATGGATGCAACAATATTAGTTCGCATTTCTTTTCTGCCAGAGAAAGGAAAGCCTAAGTCAAAATCCTTTGTAATGTATTTTAACAAATGTCACAAATCTGCATTGATGTGTGGGATTTTTCCTTTTTTTTTAACACAAACTACAGCCCAGTGATAGAAGGCAGCAGATAACAGCGTTGCTTATTCCCTACAGCATGAATTGCTTCATCATCAGGAGATTTGCAGCTCACTCTCTACATATTTGGAGAGCAATGGTTGGTCCCCGATGGCAGGCAGACTTTATCTGACCGCGCAGGTCAACTTGGGGCCCCAGATTCAAAGGCTGCCAAGTAGGCTTAGGCTCCTCTATGACATTTCTTAATGGCTATTACATAGGATTTGAGTCGGGTGCCCTCCATCTCAGTGGATTCTCGGATAAAGATTAAGAAAAGCCAACCTTCTGGATATGCTGATTTACAGATTATGTTTTATAGCTTTGTCTTGGTGTAAAATTTCAAGTCCGCTGCATGGACTTTGAGCTGTGTCCCTTATGGCAAAGATCAGTTTTTGGCAGATGGAAAGAGGGAGCGTTGGTGCTGGGTGGCTGTTTCAGGAGGATTTACAAAGATCGGGGTTGCTGGTAGGTTAATCAGCCTAATAACTATTCCAGTCATGTGACACTCCTCAAACGAGCGTGGCAGCATTTTTCGAAACTATTTCATTATGTAGATGTTCGAGGGGATCAGTTCTGGATGTGTTACTGCTAAATTAGTGGTTAAGAACATGGTTTGAAGACTCCCGTTTGGTTCGACAGTCTCAGCTTATGTAAAATGATTGAAGGTGGAGTTTGGTGGCAGTAAATTTGTGTCTTGTTTGTGTGTGCCAGTGAAAAAGGTACAAGTGTATGCTTATGCGTGTTCGCAGGCATGCCAACAATTTTCAGGAAACTCTTTGGTATTTCTGTTGCTGTTGCCGCTGAAAAGAACCAAACAGTGGAGTATGAGTCCCTGCCAAGAGAATAGAGCAGTGGTGCCAAATAGTGTCTGAGATTGCTGGAGTTTGGAGGTGTCCAAAGTCCTGTCAACTCACTGTTTGCCCCGGGTTACTGTACATCTTTTGTGAATCCGCGTGGTCGGAAAATTCTCGTCTTTTCACAGCATTTCTTTAGCTGAAACCCTGGCAACCCTTGCGCAATGAGCTCAGTGAGTGTGCAGTGACTCCCAGTGATCCTACCCCTTGCTCCCATGCTGATAGTTCATTCTCTGTGCCCACAGCAGATGTGGCACGCTGTCTCAACGGTGCCCTGCAAGTGGGCTGTGGAGTCTTCGCCTGCCTGGAAAACTCAACTTGTGACACAGATGGCATGCATGACATCTGCAAGTCCTTCCTGTACAGTGCTGCTAAATTTGACACTCAGGTATACACTGTGTACTTTGTTGATACGTGCTCGTGAGCTGTGTAGGATGGCATGGATGTAAGTATCAGGGCCGGAATATATGTTCATCCATTTCTCTTATAGGGTAAAGCATTTGTGAAGGAGAGCCTTAAGTGCATTGCCAATGGCATTACCTCCAAGGCATTTCCCACCATCCGTCGCTGCTCCGCCTTCCAAAAAATGATCACTGAAGTCCAAGTGGAGTGTTACAGCAAGCTGGATATCTGCACGGTTGCCCGGTCTAATCCAGATGCTATTGGTGAAGTGGCTCAGCTGCCAAGTCACTTCCCAAATAGGTGAGTTCTGTGCACTTTACAAGGCATCTTGTATTACTGAGAAAACCGGAACAACCATTATGTTGAGCATCCTTTTGTTTGTCTTTTTGTTATGAGGGGAAAATAGAGAGCAATAGACCAGAAGTCATTCAAAGAAACGTGCACCGAGTTCCATGTTTTCCATTTTCTCTATAGATTTTTCCATACAGTTAAAGGAAAAGAAGAATCAAACAGGAAAATCCAGTTTGAATGTTTTTGTCTCTAGTGTGGTTGTAATACATGTTGGATTGCTGTTTGGGAGTGGACACAAAAGAATTGGAGGGTGGAGCACCAGGCTTATTAGTGACTAGAGCTACTGCATGGCTACTCCCATATAGATGACATCAGATTGTGTATTTTGCGTAAATGCATCGATATAAACTCGAAGATTTTGCATCTCGTTATATTGCTCATTTTCTTTCTCTGCTAGCAAAAAATCACTGTTATGCTTCACTTCCTCAGGTTTTATGGTAAGCTGCTACAGAGCCTGATGGACTGTGATGAGGACACAGTGGACCGCATTAGGACCAGCATGGTGTCACGGCTGGGCCCAGAGATGACCGTGCTTGTTCAGCTGCTGCAGAGCAAGCCCTGCCCATCCACTGCTGTGGCTGCAGCTGCCGCCATCCCGACAGGAGTGGAGGGCCGTGGGAGCTGGCGCTGGTCCATGAGTCCCCATATGTACAAGATCCAGCCTAATCTGCGAAATAGAGACTCTGCCAGTCATTTAGGCAAAAAGCGCTCAGCCAGTGACGGCTCCTAACTTGCACTTAGATTCAGAAAACTCCACACACTCCTTAAAAATCATGAAAGCTCCTCAATTCCCTCGGGGTGACACAATCCATTCCTCTGCTAGACTGGAAGTTACTGAAATGTGCACCTCTAGGGAATGTCGGACTGCCCATAGAGTCGATATCAGTTTGATTGTTGTAATATTGTATATCCTCCGCATTAGGCTTGAGAGAACCCCTCTTCCATCGACTGTTTTCAGATATGTCACAGTCAGTGTTGAACATGTGGCTGTTGGTCCTAAATGCTCCTTTTCCACATCCTCCAAGAGAAATAATTCCTAAAGAAGTCAGAGGTATTTTCATGCCAAGTAAAGCAAATAAGCCGAGAGAAATATAACAGCCATAGCGGCCCATTCCCCTTGAGCCAGTGCATTAAAAGACAAATGCCACTTCATAATTTCAATTTCATGAATTTGTAGGAATGGGAATATATTAATAGATGTTTCCAATATTTCAGCAGTGAGACCAGTTCAGTTGTGAGCGTCATAGCACCAACATAACACTTAAATGTACTGTATACTAAGTCAGAGACAGCCATAGCCAGCCCTCTAAACGAGTGCTCAAACAGAGTGAGGTCTGTAGAGGTTTCACAATAAACTTTGGGAGGTTGTCTTGAAACTGACCAAAATAATCTTCAAACTGCCCTTGAATGCTATTCATGATAAACCAAAATTGTTTATAGCTATAGCACTTAGATGTTTAGTTTCTTTGTTTTTCTTCAAACTGCAGATGTAGACATGGTCATGTGTTTCAAATCATTACTCTGCACAGGAAGATTGTCCAGGTTGTGGCCACATCTATAAGAAAAGTCCTATTTGCATATCTTTTTGTCTCAGACAATAAGACTGTTGAGCACTGCAGTATATATGGGACCATATTTAATTGGATCTGTATCCACGCTCTTAGCTGAGAGTGAAGCAGTTGTATATGTGCCGTAGCTGAATAACATGTTCACCAAAGGGAGTGAGAGCAGCCATCCTCCTCAACTGATGATTTTCACTCTCTGAGGTCAAGCGTGTGAGGCACACACTGACTTCTTGTGTCAAGATGGAAGATGACTATTTAAAAAAAAGAGCCTTGTTGGAATGATATTTATTTTCCTACTATATTATTTAATTTTTTATTCTAATTATTATTTTAAAGCATTATTGTAGTTGTAATTAGTTTACAGGTTAAAAGCAGTTTAACCATGGCTCCTATTTGAACATGAGCTCTATGCCAAAAAAAAAAAAAAAAAAAAAAGAGCTGACACTCTAATGACTGAATGGGAGCCATGTTATGACTCTGTGCTGGCCATAGGGGAACAAGGTTAGTCATTCAGGTCAGGCGATGTACATTCTGGTGTTACAAGGGACCACAATGAAACTTTAGCTTGGTTTGACTCTTGGGTTTTTTTTAGTTAAAGGTCGTCATCTCAGCTGCTAGAAGTGCATATTCGGTGGAGGTTTCTTAAGACACCACATCTAATGACGGCAAACCAAACGCCAGCATCCAATACCACGCTAAATACTGCAGTAGATGGGTTTAAAGTACTTTCCTTTGCCCATAAAATATCCCAGTTTATTTTATTTTCTTGCAATTAAAGGAAAAAAGACACTAACATGGTTTTTAGCTCAAATTACAGAGGAGTTTTGCCCGAGATAGGCTGCAAATACCCACAAATATGTGAGAGAAAGGAACTTCACATATTGCTGCACGCTCTGTTTTAAGGAAGGATTTTCTTTGCTTAAGTAAGCCTGTTGTAGCCGTGCATTGTCGTATCTAAACTATATTTTTTCTGAATCCAGTCTTGTGGCTCTGAGAGGAAGACAATCATTCTGAACTAAATAGGTTAGTACGTAGCCACAGGCAATGGCAGTGGTCTTCATGCTGGCGTTTGCTTTCATTTGTAACAAATAGATTATGGGTTGGCACCATGGACTTTAACGAAACATTTGTGTGCATAAGTTGGTTAAGTGCAGAGTGAATTAAGTTTGCTCGTATTTGAAAAGAAGTAAGTACACTGATAATGTGGTGTAGATGAGAGCTTTGGACCAGGGTCGGCTTTGGTTGAAAAATGACCTTACTTTTAAATCCAGATTGTACAAGTTGGTTTTCTTGGTTTTTAAGATTTTCTTTCTGATAACATTGCAACAATTTACGGTTTAGATTTCTTTCCCTTCAACAGAGTAAGTGAACCCATGCCGCCATGAAAGAGAGATGAATTTGTTCTGGATGACTGTGAGCAGAAAAAAGAGAAGCTTTATTTTTCAGTGTCAGTATAAGAGCTATGTTAGGAATTCCAAACTATGCAATAATTACACACAAAGGATTCACAGCAACATAGAAATTGACCTTTTTCATTCAGTGCCAGCTGATGCTGTGTGAATAAAGCAGCAGCGTAGGCTCTCATGCTGCACGTCCAGTGTGAAGGCATCGCTCCTCTTTAATGCTTTCCATCTCTGTGTTTTTTCTTGCACCATTCTTTCTTTTGTTTTGTGAATAGAATCATTTCTATTGTGTCATGTAATGCAAGGGATAGACGTTGGGAAGCAATTACTTGGGAATCAACACCACTATATCCAAGCTTTCAGTTTCTGTTGAATATGCACTTTGCATTTGACCAACTATAAAGGGCATTGAAACATTCAGCACATGTGCAACTGAGGCATATTTTATTTACCCGGTGAGTGGAAATGCGTTTGAATATTTCACATCCTGAAGGGTTAGGGCTTATTCATGTACTATCAATACATGCGTCTGTGTCTTTGTTGTCCAAAAGTCAATCGAAACCCAACAGTTGCTGCTAAACTCCTCCTAACCTGTAAAATGCTGTGCTGATGCCTGTCTGCTGAGGCCGCTCTGTGTTGTCCACACACAGTGAGCCCATCATCACTTCGTTTGCATTTCCACATTTCTAGTGTTGGCCCATGCCTTCATATTTATTTATTTGTGAGCATTTTCCACATCAGACGCATTTAGCAAGGGCAAATTGACTGTTTCCTCACCAAGTAGAAGGTAATTTTGGAGAATGTATCTGTATACTGAATGTCTATTTTGACAAGGACATGCCCAAGTTATGTAACCAGTGAACGCTATTAGGAAAACCCAAAGTGAGCAAAGTCTTTTCGTTTCTTTCTGTTTAAGATTTTAATCCAAGTAAAGGTTGCTCAAGGTGGTACTGGAGTATTGTCAAATTGTTCCATGGTGAGTTTCGTGAGACTGTTCCAGTTAATACTAAAGACTAAAACCTCCTTCACTTCTGGCACTTCATGGTACTGTTACCCCTCGAGACTTGAAATAGATGGCTAAATGTTGTGCTTCAAATCAAACAGTGTCAGTGACTAAGTTTATTTTGTTTTCATATATAAGTGACAATTATTTTACTATAAGATTAAAAAAATATATTGCAGATTATAGGAGATTTCTGAAGTTCCTGATACAGATGCTATATAACGCATGATTGACCCTTGTGAATCACTTGCACTTTAAAATATACCCACATACATATATGCCCATACTGTGTATATGTTTGGGTTTTTCCTCTGTACTGAGAAGTCATGAAAGATACAATGCATCAGTTGTGTGTCTTTTGCTGATACAAAAATAAAATATTTCTCAAATCTGGCACAAGGAATGAAATGTGTTACTTTGCTTTTTTTTCAATCTTGATGCACTATAAATTGAACAACCTCCACCTTTTTATGGTGATTTATTCTTCAACTGCTCTAAATGTTTAAGATGACTGTCTGATTGACTGACTTTGGTTTATTCATCGAAACATGAACCGTGCTGGTTAAGTAAGGGAATGTGTTCATGTGTCTCAAAAAACCCACATAAAGACAGGCAAACTGATATGACCCTCAGTGCGTTATCTAGGGAGAAATGATAGTATGTTTTCTGAAATGTGCTTGATTATCTGCACTGCCGACTCTCTTCATCACCACTTTTTCAACCAGACCACAAATTCTACAGTGAACGTGTCACCCGTGACACCACAGCGATATCCAGGGCTATAAGGATTTCTAATTTCCTCAGCAATGTGAAAAATGAAGAGAAGACAGATCTAGGCTTGCTGCCATCTCAAACATTTGGCACCAGCTTCCAAAGAGTTACAACTAGTCAAAGTCCTTCTCAGCTTTGTTCCTCTAAATCTTTGTAAACATAAAGAAACATTTGAAAGAAGGGATAATGTTTTCTACGGGCAAAGTGGAAAAAACAAATAGATTAAAAACACAATTTACCACATAAAAAACGGCCATGGCAGATTGTTAGCTTGCAGCTGATCATCAGATTTGGGGCTATGGTAATCACTCACTGTGTAGGTTGTAATACAGGAAAGGCAAACATGGGAAATGTAATGAAGTCCCAGTTTGAGAAAGCAGAGCCTACAAAGGGATGCTTGAGGCAAGACAAGTTTAAAAAAAATGCTGTCTGCTAGATGCAAACTGAACAGTACTGAGAGTAGCAGCGATCCACCGGTCTGCTGCAGTTCTCTGCCGGCCCATGTAACGGCAGCAGTGTCAGGAAAAGAACTTACAGATCAAACAGCTGCTCACTTACAAATCCTGCGGATTATGGTGGAACGCTGACCAAATGACCAAAAACGTCAATTGTAATTAACTTTCAGAGCAAACCAAAAAGTAATAGGCCTGCATTATAATTTTCAAATATACAGTACTGTATTTTTATCCCCAAATATTGTACAGTCGGAATTTTATTTGGAGATGATGAACTGAGAACTGTTGTTATCGACTTTGAGATAATACTTACTCATTGAATAGGGGATTCAATTATAAATGCTCAATTTACATTGGTTTTGGAAGTGGTTGGCTAAGATAATCGCGTAGCTTTCGGCCTCTGATCTGAGCTTTTGCAACCATCAAGTACTTTCCTCTGTGCTGTTGTGTAGCTAAGCCTCGTGTACAGAGGTGCCCTGTTTTCCTGCTGCGCACAAGATTTATCCCGTTTATGCAGGTGTGCTTTCAGGGAGGTACCTGATCGTATTGCTCCCAGCTCTGCTTGGGTTTGGCCGGGCCATCGTTTGGTCTTTGCAAACACAGAAGATATTTCTTTCGTCCAGATTGAGAGAAAATATTTGTTTTGATTGTTTTTTGTTTGTTTGTTTGTTTGTTTACTCTTAGCTTCCAGCCTCCTTCATTGTCCATTCTGATAGTTTTCAATATTTCCACGCATTATACCATGCATCATTCCAACTTTCTTATCCAAAAATACATATTTTTTCTGTGATTAAACAGAATAAATGTGTATGAGTAAGTTTTCTACTGGAAACTAACACAATATCACATTCTTTCCATAGAATGATTCAATAGTTATTCTCTTATGCACCAATAATTAGAACATGAAACTGCTTTGGTTTACCACATGCTCTCACACGTGTTACAAATTCTGCAATACCCATGAAGGAAGCGAAGAGACACAGACAGCACCTCCTGATGAAAATGAACTTTCTTCAACTTCAGCACAAACGAGCTGAAACTGCAAAGTGACTGTTTGCTTTGAGAGCCTGAGGAAAAGAGGGGGCAGAACGCAAAAGGCTCCATGGACGCTAATCTCAGTCAGAGGGAGATATAATTTCATGCCTATTTAGAGAAGAGTCCTGAAGGGCTTTCTCATCAACCGCTCTCCAGTCTCAGGGATAGGTGATGCAGCAGCTCTGCTCATAGATTCTATCTTGTCCTTCTTTAAAGAGACATCCAGGCTAAAGACTTTGAAGGACTGAGCACATGCAGGGTGGACACAGAACAAATTTCACCACGTTGTCCCTTTAAAAATCTGCTTCTCTTTTAGTCTTTCTGCCCAGTTACATAGCTGTAGTTCTGCAGAGGGCAACTTTATGAAGCAATTTGAATGGAATTACTGCTTTCAACACAGAGAAGAGTCTTGTTGCCAGGAAACATTTGAGCAGATTTTTGACCCTGCCTATTCACATTGTTGCCTGTTGCTTGGACTGCTGCCGAGTGTATCACCACCCTGACAATCACAACCAGAGTAATAATGAATAATGACGAAATTACAATGTCATTATGCAGATGCAATTCATACCATCTGCTTGTGTTTTTTTCTCTGTGA